AAATGTCTAATATTTGTCTTTGTCATTCTGACTTGCTTGACTACTTCCATTTTGCTGTAAATGGCAGCATTTCATCTTCCTTATGGCTGAATAGTATTCCATTATGAGGAGATATATATATATATATGTGGATATACATATATATACATATGTGGATATACATATATACATATACACACACACACACACACTCTTACATACCACATCTTCATTATCCAGTCCTCTCAGGGGACACATAGGTTGTTGCCATAACTTGACTATTGTAAATAATGCTGCAATAAACATTATAGAACATATAATTTTTTGAGTAATGGTTTCATAGTCTTTGGAGAGATGTAGGATTTCTGGGTAATACACTATTTCAGTTTTTAGTTTTTAAGGTAAAGCTAGATTGCTTTCCAGAATGTCTGTGCCAGTTTACAGTCTCATCAACAATGTAAGAGGGCTTATCTTCCTTTGCATCCTTTCCAGCATTTGTTGTTTGGGACATTTGAATGTGTGCCATTCTCCTGGATGTGCGATGATATCTCACTGTGGTTCTGACCTGCATCTCCCTTGTTGAAAGTGATGATGAGCTTTTTTCCATCTATCTATTGGTCTTCTGGACCAATTAACCAATTCTTTGGTTAATTGTCTGTGCAAATCTGCACATTAATGATTGGGTTGTTTGTTTTACTGTTAAATAAGTATATAAATACATAGATGGATAGATATAAATACAGATACAGATATATCCTAGATATTAACCCTGTATCAGTTGCATAATATGTGAATAATCGCTCCCATTTAGTGGGATGTCTTTTTTAATCTACATGTATTTTCTTTCATTTTTGTGTAAATAAAAGCTTTTTAGTTTGAGGTAATCCCACTTGTTCATTTTTGGCTCTTATTTTCCTTGCTAAAGGAGCTGATTTTCAAAAAATACCTTTATCATTGATGATATGGCGCATGTCATCTAAGTATTTTATTGTTGCATATCTTACATCTAAATTGTTTATCCATTTGATTCATCATTGTGGGTTAGCGAGTGATCCAGCTTCATTCTTTTCAAGCAAATTTTATCAGGCATTTATAGAACTTAAACCCATCTTTCTCAAATTATATCTAAAAATCCAAGAAGAGGGAATGTGCCCTATCACATTTTATGATGCCAGCATTACCCTAAGACGAAAACCAAAGACAGCACAAGAAAACTACACACCAATATCCTTGTAAAATAATGATGTGGAAATCCTCAGCAAAATAGGAGCAAATTGAATTGAACAATACATTGGAAGGATTATGCATCAGGATCAAGTGGGATTTACCCCAAAGACACCAGGGTTGGTTAATACGCACAAATCAACCACTATAATATATTTCATCAACAAATGGAACAATTTAAAAAAAAAAGGAACAATTGAAATTACATGATAGTAGCAATAGTTGTAGAGAAAACATTTGACAAGATTCAGCACCCATTTATGGTAAGAACTTTTTTTTTAAGATTTATTTATGCATACAAGAACTAGGGTGTAAGACAGAGGTGCAGGGGGTGGGGAGGTGGGGTTAGAGAATTCACCAGAGAGAGTGGGGAGCAGAACAGGCAGATCTACTGAAACACACTACTGAGGGGAGCAGCAGGCAAGACAGGAGAGGTCTGCTGTGCCATTTAGGTCAGCTCCCTGGCCAGGGATCAAACTCAGGCTGTAATGGTTGGCAATAGCTTGATAGCGCTGTTTTTAACCCCTGCGCCACCAGGAAGGCATGATAAGAACTGGGAATAGAAGAAAACATACCTCAGTGTGATAAAGGTCATATGTTATAAACCTGTTGCCAAAATATAATGCTAATGGTGAAAAAGTAAAAGCTTTCCTTTTAAGATCAGGAACAAAACAAGGGTGCTCACTGTCATCACTCCTATTTAATTTAATATTAGATGTATTAGCTGGAGTAGTCAGACAACAATGAAAATAAAAGGAATATGTATTGGATAAGAAGTGAAATTAGGGCTTCCCTGGTGGCGCAAGGGATTAAAGACACAGCACTATCAAGCTATTGCCAGCCACTACAACATGAGTCCGATCCCTGGCCAAAGAGATAACCCACATGGCCTAGCAGACCTCTCCTGTCTCAACCACTGCTCCCCTCAGCAGTGTATTTCAGTAGATTCCCCCTGTTCTGCTCCCCACTCTGTCTCTGGTCAGTTCTCTCACTCTGCCCCCCCCTCCCCCACCTCTGGCTTACACCACAGTTCTTGTATACATAAATAAATCTTTTTAAAAAAACAAGCGACGGCCTCCCTGGTGGCACAAAGGGTTGGGATGCAACATATGAAGCTGTCTGCAGCACAAGTTCAATACCTGGCTGGCCAGGGAGCTACCCACATGGCACAGCAGACCTCTCCTGACTCACCTACTGCTCCCCTCAGCAGTGTATTTCAGTCAGTCTGCCTGGTTATGTTCCCCATTCTGTCTCTGGTGAATCCTCTCACCCCCAATGCCTCTGGCCTGTATCCCAGTTCTTGTATGCATAAATAAATCTTTAAAAAATAAAAAATAAAAAACAAGTGAAATATTGTTATTTGCAGGCAATTTGATGCTATAAATAGATAGACAACACCAGAAAGCCATAGAAATAATAAATGAATACAACAAAGTGACAGTTACAAAAATCAACATATAAAAATCATTCAAGAACAAACATTAATTGAGTGTACAAGAAGAAAATAATTCCATTCATAATCAAAAAGAGTGAAACAGCCAGGAATTAACCTAACTGAGGAGGTTTATTATTTACATAATAAAAGCTACAAGATGATATTATAGGATTTAGAGCATGACATAAGGAAATGGAAAGACATCACATGCTCATGGATGGGAACAATCAATATAATCAATATGACTTCTACCAAAAGCCATATATTGATTTAATGTAATCCCTATTAAAATACCAATGATATTATTCAAAGAGATGCAACAAAAAATATTAAAATTTATATGAAACCAGTAAAGGTCTCAAATAGCTAACACGAATCCTGAGTAAAAAAGGAAAGAAACAGAGGTATCATGTTACCTGACTTTTAAACCATATAGCAGGGCCTCCCCGGTGGTGCAGCGGTTGAGCGCTGGGTTGCGAAGCTGCCAGCGACCTCTGCGGCGCCGGTTCGATCCCCGGCTGCTCCCCGGTCACCGGAGGAGGGTCCCACATGGCGCGCAGACCTCACCTGCCGCCCGCTGCTCCCCTCAGCAGTGTACTTTGGTCCTTCTGCCTGCTCTGCTCCCCACTCTGGCTTTGGTGAATTCTCTCACCCTCCCGCGCTTCTGACTGTACCCAGTGCATGTATAAACGAAACGAACAAACAAACAAACAAAATAAATAAATAAAAACATGCCTCTATTAAAAAAAAAATAAAAATAAACCATATAGCATAAAGCAAGAGAGTAATAAACAATAGTATTGGAGAAAAAGAGACACAAGGATCAGTGGAACAGAACAAACTCCAAAAGCCCAGAGATAAATCTAAGCATCTGTCAATATTTACTCTATTGTAGAAGAGCCATAACCATACATGGGAGAAAGGAGAGCCTCTTCAACACATGATGCTGGGAAAATTGGATGGCTACTGGTGAAAGAGTAAAGATGGGTCACTCAAACTCCATGCACAAAAACAAATTCTAAATAGATTAAAGACTTAGATATAGGACCTGCAACAATAAAATACATGGAAGAAAACATTGGCCATACATTTCATGACATCCATAATAAAGATATCTTTAGAGTGTCAATCCCTATGGAAAGATAATAAACCACTGTTTCACTTTTAAATTGATCTCTCTCTTTTTTTTTTTTAAGATTTATTTGTTAATTTGTACAAGCACTGGGTACAGTCAGAAGTGTGGGAGGGTGAGAGAATTCACCAGAGCCAGAATTCACCAGTTCACAGAACAGGCAGATCGATGAAATACACTGCTGAGGGGAGCAGTGGGCGAGCCAGGCGAGGTCTGTTGTGCCATGTGGGAACCTCGCTGGCGGCCAGGGATCAAACCGGTACTGCAGAGGCTGTGGGCAGCTTTGCAGCCCAGCGCTCAACCACTGCGCCACCAGGGGAGGCCCTTAAATTGATCTCTTCATAGGAATCATTCCACCTGATTCATTATGCATTGAAATGCAGTGGAAATCAGCAAGACATGGAAACAGAACAGATTGGGGACTGAGCAGAGAGGAAAGCAGGAAGTGACGCTAATGGGTGTGGTGTTTCCTTTTGGGGTGATAAGCATGCCTGTGATGGTGGGCCAACATTGTAAATGTCGTAAACTCTCTGAATGACACACTGTAGAATGGTTAAAATGGTGAACTGTATTTTATGTGCAACTTACATAAATTTACTTTAAGGGCAGTAGGGACAGAACAAGATGCATCAGCAACATGTGTAAGCATTGAGTACCAGACTCCTGTTACAACATTAAATGTATAGGGATACAGTGTATAGTATGGTGACTATAGTTAGTAATATTGTATTGCATATTTGAAAATTGCTTAGAGAAAAACATTCTTGTCACAAGAAAAAAATGTTATCACAGTGATGTGTGGAGCATATTGTATTGTACACAGTCATTTCACTGTGTACAATATGGAATCATTATGTTGTGTACCTGAAACTGATATATCAATTATATCTCAGTTTTTTTTAAAGATTTATTTATTTATGCATACAAGAACTGGAGTACAGGCCAGAGGTGTAGGGGGTGAAAGGAGTCACCAGAGTGGGGAACAGAAGAGGTCTGCTGCGCCATGTGGGCCCCTCCCTGGCCGGGGTTTGAACTTGTGCTGCAGTGACTGCGGGTAGCTTCATAGGTTGCATCTTAACCCCTTGCCCACCAGGGAGGCCCTACCTCAGTTGTTTTTTAAGAATAAAAGGAAAAACTTGCAGACTGGAAGGAAGTAGCCCAGAGCCTCAGAACCTTGTGAATGAGCTTCTCTATCCTGTGACTAACAGACCCTCTGTTATCTGTGTGCAGGATACACACCGAGGTCTCTTTATCCAGCAACTGCGACCCACGCAGAACCTCCAGCCGAGAATCAAACTAAAGCTGTTTGGCCACTCAGGGTCTGGGAAGACCACACTGGTAGAGTCTCTGAAGTGTGGGCTGCTAAGGAGCTTCTTCAGAAGACGCCGGCCCAGACTCTCTTCCACCAACTCCACCAGATTCCCACCTTCACCCCTGGTTTCCAAGCCAGCAGGTAGACCCTTCCACACAGGCCCCTGTCTCTCTAGTAGGTGGTTGCTTTTCTATTCTCTCAAATCAGGTCTAACCCTGCTGTGGGTCTTGTGTCCACCTGAGTATTACAGACTGTCCGATGATAGCAAGGAAAGGGCCTCACTGAAACCACAGAATCACAGAGGCCCTCCACGGCAACTGCAAAGAGCAGAATTGTTGTGTTCTTCTTGGGAACTCTGCCTTTAAAGTCACAGAGACCTGGGACTAACACAGGTTCCAGATAAACAGATTGAATATTGGCCCCCAGGATGGGTCATCACCCCTTATACTTTCTTCCTTCCATGCTGCAGACCCAGTCTGTAAGGTGAGAACATAGAACAGTAAAATGAATTCAGGCGGATGCACCACGTCTGCACGTCTTGAAGTTGTTTGGTGGTTCCATGAGGCTCATTAATGGCTTGCATGGTTGTTCCTTCTGCTCAGACAGGGCCCTCCTTGAGAAGTAGCCTTCCCCATCTTCCTCAGATGCAGTCCTGAGTGCATTCACACCAGGACCACAGCAGCTCTGCTCCTCCTTCTCCAGGGAGGAACACCGGCTGTAAGCAAGAGGAAGTCACACAGCCAGGGCTGTTAAGTCTCTTGAACTCCCGTCCAGCATGAGGGAATTGACTTTGCAAAGTTAAGAATAAAAACCTTCAAAGAGTTTCCTAAATATTGTCAGAGACAGAAACAGAGAAGGATTTAGAATATTTTTAAGTCCTCTTGGGTATGAATATTATGCCCCAGGAACTCAAGAGATAGGCTGACTAGTGACATCAGGTGACAAATGGATCCTAAGGGAGGCAGGGATTTTATCTGGTGCTCACCCTTCAGGCTTCAGAAGTAGCATTTCCATTCATCTTCCTTCTGGTCAATTTTCTACATCTGAAAGAATTTGCAAGAATCTTGATAAAATGAGGCTCAGGCTGGCATCGTATGCATGTCTCTCCGAGTGTAACACCGTTCCTCAGCCGGTGCTTGGAGAGACTTAGATCATGGGACTCAGTGACAGAAGATTCTCTCGAGGGTGCTGCATGCTAATTCCCAGTTGCAGTCAGCATAGAAGCCACAGGTTTTTGGGGAGGCAGCTTCTTTTGTTCTCTTAGCCACTCTCAGTTCAGAGCTGCCTTCCTCAATTGGACCCTTAAATTTCTATGTAAAAGTCACTGGTTAGCAGGGGCCAAGCATTTCTGAAAGGACTGTTAGGAGATAAAGACTGCTCTTCCTTATATCCCATCCAACCTCAATTTCTTCTTGAGCCCATTGCCTCAGAGGATGCTGGCTTTACTACTAGAAGCAGATGAGAATCTAATCTCATTATTCTCAGTTCTGCTGTCTTAGGTTATTTTCCTAGAAGAAAGACCACATGGGGGGTGTGAAAACTGAAGAAAGTAATAAAGGCTGGTAGACATGGGAAAAAACATGGGGACCCAGTGGTCCGGTTGCTGCTCCCTGGGATAGAAAACTAACATTCACATGGTTGGGAAGTGTGAAGGCATGTTGTGAACCTGTCTCAGAGAGAAGTAACACCAAATTCAGAAACACAGGTGTCTGCCAAAGGCAGAGAGTGTCACCCTGGCAAGCGACCATGTTTACTGGAGTGTGGGGGAAGAGAAGGAAAAAAATTAAAGATAGCTGCCAATATGTAAAAAGCAGAGATTTTTACCTAAAAAGTTGGGGTTTTGGTTTCTTTTGAAAACTTGGAGGTTCTGTCCATACTGGGTTTGTACATCTCCCTGGTGCTGATTGGGGGGAGAAGGTGACTGCCTCATAGTGAGGATCTACATTTTACCCCATCTCAACTCTATCCCCAACTCAAATCAGATAAAACAGAGATTGAGCTAGAATCTCTCATACCAACATGTGAAGGTTTCCTTTGTATTGTATTAGGTTGTGTGACCCCTGGGCTAAGGTCACTTGTCTTCAGTGACCACCACCAGAGGAAGCATGTCTGGTTAAAACCAGACAGCCTCAGTGACTAGGCAAGGTTGGAAGAGATGTGGGACCCCAGGGGTGCCCATGTTGCTTAGTTGCCAGTGGCACATTGCTCTAAGGGGTAGTGGATAAATAGTTCCTGAAAGAGAAAAGTGCAGTAAAATGTGCACCTGTGTGAGGTCCAAAGAGCTAGGAACTGTGCCTGCAGGCTCTGTAGCAGGCCCTCCTCATGCACAAGCAGAGTCAGTGCTCCCTGTGCCCAGGAGTTGCCAGTAGGAGGCAGCATCAGGCAACGTGGTCCTGGCCGTCCCTGACCTGCCATCTCACCAGTTACTTCCTGACCCTCAAAAAACTGTCAAGGATTTCCTCGGAAAAGCAGAGCATCACACAAATGTGTGGTGCCATGAGGACCAGCTGAGGGAGACAAGGTAGGGGACAGGGACGTACTGCAGAGAACACAGGGGCCGCAGAAGAGTAGACAGCAACATTTCTTTGTTAAACACTCTAGGAAAAGCACCCTGAAGCATGACCTACACAGGGCAGATCTGTTTCCAGAAACATTATCATTGTCACTCTATAGGGGCACTGCCATGCTTCTGGGGTCACGCTTTGCTGTGTCCCGGGCCAGTGTTCTGGACACCCACGAACTCTGTTGAAGGGCCAGGACTTTTTTTTTGCCACGAGAGAGGACCACTGGAAGTATTTATATGTCTGCTAGCAGGAAGGTGGTTTTCCTTCAGAATCCTGGTCCTTTGCGCTGCCACCCCGTGAAATGCTGGGAGACTCCAGACTGAACAAGCAGCCGGAAGCAGACCTGGTAGCGAGGGTGGATCGTGGTCACCGTTACCTGTAGCTGCTGAGTGCTGATCAACCCCTCACTGCCTGTCTGGCTGCCACACACCTGCACACTCTGTTGTAGTGTTGAATTGTATTTCTGTAGCAGGAAGGAAATGCCTGGTGCCAGTCAGGGGGTGGGTGTCCAGGAGGAGCTGAGGTGGCTGTGGGCTACTCTCACTTGAGAGGGCCAGAGGGAAGGAGGACTGACCAGGGTGCAAAAAGTGCCTTCTTCCTCAGGCTCTACCACTCTTCACCACCAGAGGGCAGTAGTTAGCAAATGCTTTTCCTTCTATGGTTGCAATTGTGTTTCCTATGAAGTTACTGTCTTACTAACACTATATACAAACCCTGTCCAGCCCCGTTATTCTCCAACTAAAACTGTTATTGAAGTTATTGAAGGATAGGAAGACCTATCCTTTATCAACTGAATCTAGTCCCTTGGCAAGCAGGTGTCCACTGAGCCCTAAGGCAGGTTTTATTCCTGAAGATGTTTGTCATGGATTCAGGTTTTACCGCACAGGGAAATGGATAAACCTATTTTGGGGAAACCCATAACTTTAGTCAGACTCAGGCTAACAATCTGCAAAGAAATAAACTGAAATGTCAGTCAGATTGGCTGCCTACCCTGCCCTAAGACTTCAGGTGAACAAGTCTGGGGAGTGCCAAGGTGATGCTTCTACTTCTGGTCTGGAGTTGAGTCATTTTGTTTTCTTTAAATTTGTGTTTGCCAAGTTTTCTACATTTATAATCAGGGGAAAATATGCTTTTAAAAATAACTCTTCCCACTTTTCTCCTCCTCATTCCCCTCACTTGTCAATGGGGGAGGGACAGTAGGAATGGTGGTGTTCAGTCTGATATCTTTGTCTTTACACAAAGGTTTATCTTTATATTTGGATCAACAATTTTAATGTCAGGTGACCCAGGCAAAATGTTCATTTCTTTGCTACCTCACAGTGTCTATCACTATTAACTGTGAGCCTCGAGGGTATGGTTCAGCTCACGAGTCCCTCCCCTAATGCACTTCTGAAGTTCCCATTTAGGGCTGCCCAAAGCCCTATCCCCAAGCAGACAGACTCACCCTGCCTTCATCCTTCACAGCCCTTGTGGGGAGACGGCCAAGCCAATGGCAATGTGATAGTAACCTCAGCATTGCTTCCTGGGCTCTGTGGCCAGAAACAGGGGGTACAAAATGTGTGATTCAGCTGTGGACAGCTTCACAGCGCTGTGCTCAACCTGCTGCGCCACCAGGGAGGCCCTATTTATGTCATTTTTTAAACTAATACCTTTTTAAAGTTTACTAGCATTCATTGATTTGAAAATGAAATGGTTCACATTCTTAACTGTGAATGGAAAACCTATAGTGGGATCATCATGCAAATGAATGCAATGAGTAGCCAACAGTATGCCTGCAAACTAGATATATAGCGTTGCCCACTCCCTCTTTATTAAAATGGAGACTGTGTAAGGATTGGAGAGATGCTAAAGATAATGCCATAAATTGAAATTTGCCAAGAGAAATTGAAAGATCTTCAAGGAAATTTGTAAAAGGAATAAAATTCTCACTGTATGATTCAGCATTATTTAGCCATGACTGCTACTAAAATCATTTTGCATTCAACTTACAGCAACATATAATCTTGTGTACCAAAATGGTATTCATCTCATCTGAATCAGCCAGGGTCCTGGTGGGGACTTGAATGAAAGTTCAGTCATGGGTAGTATTCAAAGGAACATACAGGAAAGGGAGAAACAGCTGGAGTCTAAGAATAGAAGGGAACCATTTCCTTCCCTGGTGCTGAAACAGCAGAGGAAGACAGCCTGTTCCTGGGAAAGCTGGAGCTCAGGCGAATCTGGTGGGGGTGAGAGGCCTAGAGTCAGCTAGTGTCAGAGAAACAAGAGGAAGAAAAGAGGACAGAAATGCCTGGGCCTTTCTCTCCTAACCTCTCCAGAGCCTCCCATTGACTGACCCTAACTAGAGGAAAATGGGAAGCCAGCCTGGGAGATGCAGTACATGGGGTGACCACTCGGCACCCCCAGCACAGAGCAGAGCAGGAAAGGGTTATGGGAGGTGGAAGGAATAGGACGTGTCAGCACAGATCCCTGGGAAACACTGCTGCACATGACATGCAGGGAACACACAGGTAGACCTGGTGCAGGATGGATGGATGGGGCAGGGATGGAGAATACAGGAGGAAACAATGATGAGCCAAGTGTAGGAGAGAGAGCAAGTGCATGCTGCCCTATGCAAGATCTGACCACTTCCTCTCTGGTCTGCAGTCTCTGTGAGCATCAACAACCTGTATCCCGGCTGCGAGAACGTGAGTGTGAGGAGCCGCAGCATGATGTTCGAGCCTGGCCTCACCAAAGGGATGCTGGAGGTGTTCGTGGCCCCACCCCACCACCAACACTGCACCGCTGATGACCAGTCCACTAAGGCCATTGACATCCAGAACGCCTATTTGAATGGTATAGTTCACCCACCCCAAAAGGGAAGGACATGCATTTCCCTTTGACAGGGCCATGGTCATGCCACTAAGGCAGTCCCAGTGGCAGAAGAGCCAGTAGTGTAAAGTGATCTAGGGAGCCACCCAGGGATGAAGTATGGTGGGTTCATACCCCTAAAAATAAACTGAATACCCTGGTGTCTCTGGAAACTCACAGTGCACTGTGAGTTAGTATTAAGTAGGTACTTAATACTAATGACTGCTGGATAAATCAATACATATTTAAAGTAGAGCTAAGCATCCACTTGAATGGGAGAGCTCATAAAATATATTCCATTGTGAGTTTGATTTATCTAGGTATAAGAATTATTATTTTTTATTGAGGTAATGTTGGTTTTCATCACTGTTTGTGTCTTAGAGGTTTAGGATCTCCCTCTTCAGGAGTTGTTACTACACCACACCCACCAGGAGCTTTCCTGGTCATCCCATAGTCCATTGTGTTCCCTTCCTACATAGTTCTCCCCTCCCCTTCACCCCTTCCTCTGGTGGCCTCAGTTCTATGGTCAGATTTTGGGGCTTCTTGTTAGTTTGACTGTATCCTAACCTTTGTTTGATTTTATATTCCACCATCTGGTAGCACCATCCAGTATTTCTCTTTCTTCTTGTGACTTTTTTACTTAGCATAATCCCCTCCAGTTCCATACTTTTTTGTTGCAAATGGCAAGAGTTTGTCTTTTTGATCACTGAATAGTATTCCATTGTATATATACCACACCTGCCTAACCCACTCATTTGTATTTGGGCACTTAGGTTGTTTCCATAGCTTGACTGTAAATACTGCTGCAATGAACTTCAGAAGGCATATGTTGGGGTTCAAATGATTGGGTTTGTTGCATGGGGTTCTAGGGTTCATGGAGAACCCTAGAAAAAAGAATTCAGCAAATGTTCCTGTTAATCAGTTCACAGGAAATTTATTAAAGAAAAGAGAAAAAAGAGAGACGCCTTCACAGACATGGGTGGGCAGCTGCAGGTGTTCTTTCATAGTGCTTTTGGATAAAATTATTGTGGAAATTATCACTTTTGGGTCAAATTGGGTTGATCTTCTGTGATTGATAATACTCTTTGCCCCCACCTCTCTGATAATATTTTCTGATCCCAACTTAGATTCCTGGAAATTCCCGAAGCCTGTTCAGTTAAGATTTGCTAATCCCTACCCCTACCCCCTGATGCTTGTCATTGTTAGACTTTCCATCCTATATTCTTCTACTCTAAGCTTCCAAAACATAGATCCATTCAAATTAGTGTCGTGATAGTCTTTGGGTAGATACCTAAGAGTGGAATTGCTGGGTCATATGGTAGATCCATTTTTAATATTCTGAGAAACTTCCATACTGTTTTCCATAGAGACTGCACTGTTTTCCGTAGAGACTACATCCCCACCAACAATGAAAGAGGGTACCTTTTTCTGCTCATCCTCATCTCCACTTGTTTTTTCTGGTCTACTTTTTTTTTTTAAATATTTATTTATGAAGGGCACAGCGGTTAAGCACTGGGCTGCAAAGCTGCCTGCAGTCTCTGCAGTGCCGGTTCGGTCCCCGGCCGCCAGCGAGGGTCCCACATGGCGCAACAGACCTCTCCTGCCATGCCCGCTGGCTCCCCTCAGCAGTGTATTTCGTCAGTCTGCCTGTTCTGTTCCCCACTCTGGCTCTGGTGAATTCTCCCACCCTCCTGCACTTCTGACTGTACCCAGTGCTTATATAAATAAATAATCTTTAAAAAAAATAAATATTTATTTATGCATACAAGAACTGGGGTACAGGCCAGAGGGGTGTGGGGGGTGAGAGGATTCACCAGAAACAGAGTGTGGAATAGAACAGGCAGAGTGACTGAAATAGACTGCTGAGGGGAGCAGCAGGTGAGACAAGAGGGGTCTGCTGCACCATGAGGGTAGCTCTTTAGCCAGGGATTGAACTCGTGCTGCAGTGGCTGCGGATATCTTCATAGGTTGCATCTTAACCCCTTGCGCCACTAGGGAGGCCCTATTTCTGGTCTTTTTGGTATGAGCCATCCTCACGGGTCTGAGGTGGTATCTCATTGTGGTTTTGATTTGCGTTTGCCTGATTATTAGTAATGATGAGCATTTTTTCATGTGCCCTTGGCCATCTTTACATCTTCTTTGGAAAGGTGCCTATTTAACTCTAATACCCAGTTTTTATTGACTTACTTGTTTTCTTTTTGCTGAATTATATGAGTTCTTTGTAGATACAAGATCAGCCCCTTCTTGGATGTATGCTGTGCAAATATTTTCTCCCATTTAATAGGGTGTCTCTGTTTTAGTTATGGTCTCTTCCCTTTATAGGTTATCTGCTTTTTCCCCTACCCAGACTTCAATATTCCTTCTCTGTCTTCAATTCTTGGAAGTTTCAGTACTGTGGCTTGGTGTATGTCTCATTCTGTTTGTGTAACCTTGTGGTATATTTCATTCCTTTTCCAGGTTTGGGAAGTTTTCCTCCGTTATTTCTTTACATAAGTTCTCTGTGTTCTTTTCTCTCTCTTCCATTTCTGGTATACTCATTATTATATTGCCTGTCCTCATAAAAGGGGATAATTCTTCATTTTTTTCCTTCATATCTCTCTTTCTTCTTCTACCTGAACCTTTGTGCAGTATCATCTTCAAGGTCACTGATTAATCTTCCATTTGTTCCATTCTGCTTCCATAATTTTCACCAAAATTTTTTGTCTCCAATATTGATCATTCTACATCCTTCATCTCCATTATTTTCTCACATGAAATTTCAATTGTGATCCATTAATTTTGTTAATTTTATTTCTCAGAACATTCATTTTTATGGATCTTCTTATATATCTTTGATCAGCTTTTCTGTGTTTTCTACCATTTATTTGAACTTCTTTGTCATTGTTATTTTGAACTTACATGTCTTCGGAGATTTGTTCTCTCCCTTTGTTATAGTATTCCCCTGAGGACATTTGTCTTATTTAATCTCCTCTGCACAAAGCAGGGAACTTCCTCTTAAACCATCTTTCTGGCAAGACTCCTTATTTAAGAAGAATTACTTTAAAATACACCTCTCCTCATGGATCATGAATAATGGATAATGGACATAGACAATTTGTTTTCTGTCGGCAAACAGCAAGTCCTTTGCTATCAAACATTTCCAAGGGAGTAAATGTCTTCAGTGTCACCGGGGATGCAACTACTATATCCTCTGTCCTGTACTCCTGAACTCCCAGACCCTTAGGTGGGCCCATCACTTGATGCCAGCTCCCCGCCTTGTTGAGACACAATGCAGAGCATGGATGAAGCATTTCCTCTGAGACTCACTACCCCATCTGTGAGGATTTCGTGAGCATCTTGGTTTTTATTAAAAGACCTGACATGTGATCTTGCACTGGGGACACACTCAAAAACTGGCAATTGGGAACATCTTCATGAAGGCCCTTTTGTTATCCTAAATTCCCTGAAAGATGATGCAGTAATTCTTAGTCTCCAGGAGCACTCAAATCCCCCGAAGGTCTTGTGAAAAAACAAACTGCAATGCTGCCCCAGGCTTCTGATCAGCAGTTCTGGGGAGTTCCCAGGTGATTCTGCTGATACTGGGGGCCCCACTTTGAAAACCACTGACTCCAATGAAATAAAGTTCAAGTACATTTTGACCTCTTAAATTTATTGACTGAGCTCCAGGAACAAAACTGAACCTTCAGCAAGAGAGGGGCAACATCTCAATTACCACCATCCCTGCCCTCACCCTTGTTCCTCCTCAGCCTTCCTCCCTGCTCCAGGTTTGGCTTGCAGTGTTCTCAAAGCTCTAAGGACCTATTTCTGTGTTCTAGAAGTTCTCACACTAACACCTGCATTCCACACTTAGAAGGGCATGCCCCTAGGATGCTGAAACCCAGGAGGAGGCTCCTGAAGATCTGTGGATCTTCCAAACTGAATTCTTGTTAGTGGGCAGAATGAAGGGTACCCTGGGATCCCCAAGCCTGCAAGCTCTAAATGGGTTCCGCCATTCACATACTATCTGTGTGTAAGACCTACAACAGAAAAGAACTTTAATAGAATTAATGTGTAAGAGAATACAAAAGAAAGAATATAGTTTCCCAATGAAAACACCCGAAGTTACCCATCCCCTTGTAGGTAAATGCTCAGCCAAACAGGGTTGCTGCAAAGCAGGGCCACTAGGCCCAAAATCTTGCTGCAGTCTAAGGCATCTTCTGGGAAAGCATAGGAAAGGGACAGAAGAGGCCAGGCAGGTCTGGAAGAAAAAGAGCAAAATCAAAATAACAAGTCAAGATAAAGGCCACCATTGTCAGCTTCCCTATGGGTCTGTCATCCATGTCTCTTTCAAGTGTCTAATTCCATGTCCCCCAAGTCCCTGGTGCAAGTCCAAGGCCAAAAAGCAGGTGGGGCTTCTTCTTCACCTGTCTGTCTGCTCCACATGGCCTCCACCAAGCCTTCTTTTCAGTCTCCTCTTCCAAGTCCTTCTTCAGCTTCTCCCTCTATGCTCAGCAGCACCATCCAATAGATGGGGCAAGGGAACATAGATCCTCCCCTTTTCAGATTATGCTGTTACCTCCTGACTACAAAATTTCTGTTCAGAAATAAGCAGTGAGAGAAAAAAAATAGAGAAAGGGAGTCTGAAATCCTGTAGTGAAAGAGGCCCTGCCAGATCACTGAGAGACCAGTGAGCAGGTGGGTCATCATCCTGGTAGAGGATATGTCTGTGTCAAGGTGGGGGTGTTTGGAGGGTCACCTGGGAGGTTCTTGGTGCCTTAGAAACTCCAGCTCCAAATTTTACCCACAGATACCTCCAGGAAACCAGCCAAACCCACAACTCACAACTCTGGTTTAGGTTTAGGAAACTGCCTACCCCATCCCCTCCTCACCATGGAACTTGCTTGACTCTTCTAGTGCCCATCCTCCATGGGTGACCTGATGCATCGACCCCTGCATATCTTTTATGTGCAACACTGCTATTCAGCTATCACACACCAGTGCTGTGACCGCCTGACTAGGTCTCCCACTCACCTGTAGAAGGTGACTTTAGTCACTGTTTAAACAAAATTGAGCTTATGTTTCATAGCGAATATACCAGCATTTGGGCGGGGAGAATCTTAACACCTATGTATACACACACATTTTCATGTGTGCTTCTAGACCTGTTCACATGGGTGCACATGAGTTGCACGTTTATGCCATTCCAGGGTCTTTTAAGCAGATACAGAGATATAATACAGACATAATAATGATGGTGTTCAAGAAAATGAGTAAACAGATACAGATACAAACAGATTTATAGATATCTACATATCTAGATAAATGGCATGGATGTAGAAACAGACATAGGGATACATAATGGGGATATGTAAGTTTTATGTAAATAGGTCTTTACTTGAATAGATGCACAGATAGATGAATGCTATGGATGTCACTCTCTCTACTAGTAATTCCTTAAAGTGCTAGAAAAATTGTGATTAAAATTGTGGTAGTGTTTTGTAATAGAAATTTTAATTTTTCTTTGTAGGAATTGGTGATTTCAGTGTGTGGGAGTTCTCTGGAAATCCTGTTTACTTCTGCTGTTATGATTATTTTGCTGCAAATGATCCCACATCGATCCATGTTATTGTCTTTAGTCTTGAGGAGCCCTATGAGATTCAGCTGAATCAAGTAATTTTCTGGCTCAGTTTCCTGAAGTCACTTGTGCCCATAGAAGAGCCGATAGGTAAGCTAAGAGGCTCCTGGGTGTGTGAATTCCCTTCCTGCTGTTTTACAGCCCAGACCTTGCTTAGAGCCTACGACTTTTGGCTAACTATTGTGCTTACCTTCCTTCTTCCTTCCTACTAGAAGACTTCTACTCTGAAATTTCCTGAAGCTCAGCCGTTGGTTTTGTTCTGCAAAAGTTGCTTAGTGATTGCATGTACCTGCCGGAAGGACCCAATTCTGAGAAATTCCTTGAGAGCCATGTCTCACTTACTTTCTACACTTTAGAGCATGATCAGTTATGTTGGAGGCAGAGTAAACTATTTGTTTTGATAGCTACTGAACTTTTACTAATGGGAACATAATGAATTAGCAGGATGAGTTCTCCTTCCTTCCGTAGTCTATCAAGAATGGAAAAGGGACCATATTGACTGAATGTGTGATAACATTTTCCCTAAGAAAAAGACAGCTTAGATAAAACTTCTTTCTATAGAAAAATTCAACAGTCTTCCCTGGTAAAATATAAAACTCAGCAGTGTTTTCCTTGAAAATCACGCAATAATAAAATAATTTGAACTTAACCCCCTCAGGGTACAGGCAAAAGAATAATTTTGTGTCTTATTCTTTTTCATGGTCTGATTTTCAGCATTTGTATAAGAAAGGGAGAGGTTCTATGTGTGAATTACAGTTTCTTTTCTGAGCCATTTCTTTGGTGTTTCTGCCTTCAGAAGTTTGCTTTGGTCTTCTAAAAGGTGTTCCTCAGACCAGACCTTAGATGTCTCCTCACTGTATAAGCAGGGCCATATGGAAGGAAGATCGGAGAAGTAGCCTTGTGCTCTGTGGTTGATTCTGGTTCATTTTGAGCAAGCTTCCTTGAGCCCCAGTCTTTGGCCAGGCCTGAGTCTTCCAGTGATCAGTATGCCCAGGAACCCATCCAGGCCAGTTGCACTTGCACCTGGAAAGACAGCGAGTATACTCCTCTCACCTGGGTTGGAGAGGTGACCAGGAAGAAGGACCTACCCCAAAATGGTTCCCTCTCTGCCCACAGCCTTTGGCGGCAAGCTGAAGAACCCACTCCGAGTTGTCCTCGTGGCTACCCACGCTGACATCATGAATGTCCCTCGTCCAGCTGGAGGCGAGTTTGGATATGACAAAGACACGTCCTTGTTGAAGGAAATCAGAAACAGGTAAGGGCAATCACTGGGTCTTCAGGGCTAAATACAACCAACCAAAGTCATGGGAACCCGAGAAAGGAAATAAAGAAATTAGAGGCCTCTTATGCTCACGTGTCTTTTTTTGTATTTATCATTCTTATATCAAAGTGATGAATGCACATAGTTATCAAAGAAGGAAGGAGCATAGGGTAGAAAGCAACAGTCTTTACTTCTCACTTCCCAGTTCCACTGCACAGTTAACTTCTTTCATTTGCTTCATCTAATTTCTCAGCTTTATTGGGGTATAATTAACAAATAAAATAGTAAGATATTTAAAGTGTACATTGTGGTGATTTGAGATATGTTTACATTTGAAAGGATTTCTACCATCTCATTAATTAACATTCATCACCTCACACACTTCACTTCTACTCTTAGCAAATTTCAATTATGAAATACAGTGTCATCAACTACTGTCACCATGTTATGCATTATCCTCAGTACTTTAGTTGTTTTAGATTTTAGTCCGTTTGATGTTATCATCATACATGTTACTCAAAATGTAGATTGCAACCCACTAATGGGTAATGAAGTTCATTCAGGAGTACTGACCAACTCATTAGTGTGGGGTTGACTGGAGTGGAAAATAACAGAATATATTTTATATCAGTTAATTTTGTAAAAAATTATTTCACTTATAAATATGGAACACAGGCTCACAATATAAAAAATATACATGTTTATATTGTAAAGTGTAAAAAAATGTTCAAAAATCGCAGGTTCAAACTTCCTACAATTTTATGTAATATGCTAATGACTTGAATTGTTGGTTATTATCAACTGAAGACACTTGCTGTTGTCTTCCTGATGTGAAAAATAGGGCTTCTGCTAATATTGTTAGATCTGTGTATAACTGTCATCTCCATCCCTCTATTTACTTTATCAACTTACAACAATATCTCTGTGCCTAACTGGTCAGAGGAGCTCATTAAGCCTCACATTCCTGAATCAGGGGAAGATTAAGTCTTTCCATGCCAAAGCACCTCTGCATGACTTGGGCCAGTGGTGTATGCAGGCCTCCACAGCTGTGTAATGCTAAGGAGTCCATCGTGCGGGGAGGAGGGCTCTACAATCACCAGAACTTCCTGTCCTTCCACCAGCTTTTGTGTCAGTGGAAGTTGTGGAAACATTTGGTGAGATTAATTCACTCTAATAAGGCTGCTGTTTTTTCCCTTAGGTTTGGGAATGATCTTCACATCTCAGATAAGCTGTTTGTTCTGGATGCTGGGGCTTCTGGGTCTAAGGACATGAAGGTACTTCGAAATCACCTGCAAGAAATACGGAGCCAGATTGTTTCAGTGAGTGTCCTGGGGAGAATGGGAATCTAACCTTTGCCCAGACCATCCAGTGACACTGGGAGCTGGGTCTCTTAGTACTACCATGTTGGTTTGGTTTGCTTGAAAGAAACACAGTACCAGGTGGCTGCATGGACATGTTTTTATCCAGTACCCTAGGATTAGGAAAGAAGAGTAGAGCAATAAGGAGATACCCAGGAGATAAACGAGTTGTTATGGGCAAGATGACCATATAGAGCGTATGAAATTCTGACAGCTATAGTGGTTTGTTTAAAAGTAAAATTGCTTTTTACTAATTACAAAAGCAATTTAGAAGTGATTTATTGTAAAAATTTAGAAAATGGGGAAATGTAGAAAAATCATCACCAGCAAAATTTATGAAGGGCATAAAATAATAGATATCAAATGGAATGAAACTGTGTTCTTGGATGACAAGATCTTTGAAATGTTTCATATTTCTACATAACTTTAAGACAATGCCAGTTAGCATTCAAACAGAATTGAGATTTTCTGTATTTAAAATTCCAATGGGGGCGTCCCTGGTGGCGCAGCGGTTGAGCGGTGGGTTGCGAAGCTGCCTGCAGCCTCCGCAGCGCCAATTCAACCCCCGGCCACTGGGCAAGGGTCCCGCATGGCGCACTGACCTCTCCTGCCGCCCGCTGCTCCCCTCAACAGTGTACTTTGTCAGTCTGCCAGCTCTTCTCTCCGCTCTGGCTCTGGTGAGTTCTCTCACCCTCCCATGCTTCTGACTATACCCAGTGCTTATATAAATAAATAAATAAATAAATCTTTTTAAAATAAATAAATAAAATTTCAGTGGAAGAGTAAATAAACATTATGGTTTTTGTGATCAGGAAATCAGTAGGTAAATGGAAGATTAATGAGGAAAAGGTTGGTGAGTATACAAGTAAATTGCAACATCTATAGGATTTAATAGAAAGTAAAGACATTATTTCAATTTAATGGGGAAAATGTTTATGTTAAATGATCTAGCACAACTAGTTATTTGCCTGGAAGAAAACAGGTTGAGCTCCTACTCACTACATTATCCCAAAATAAATTCTAGGCAGATTTAAATTTGTAAATGTAACTAAGTATATAATATATTGACTGGAAATTCAGGAGAATGTATTATTAAAATAACTTGGGGTCACTAATCATTTTTCTCCCAAGGCAGCAGCTCCTCCAGGTAGTACCCCAGAGTTGGGACGTGTCTGGAGCAGTGGCTGCAGAGCAAGCTAGTAGCCTTTCCAAAATACTGGCTTTAGGGCCTCCCTGGTGGCACAGGGGCTAAGTCTCAGCACTATCATGCTATCACCCATGACTGTGGTCTGAGTTCAATCCCTGGTCAGGAAGCTACCCACATGGCACAGCAGACCTCTCCTAACTCTCCTGCTGCTCCCCTCAGCAGTGTATTTCAGTCAGTCCACTTGTTCTCCTCTGTCCTAATGAATCCTCTCACCACCCCCACCTCTGACCTACACCCTAGTTGTTATATGTATAAAATAAATAAAAATAAATCTTATTAAAAAAATGCTGGCTTTAAAAATATCCCTTTTCCAGGGCCTCCCCTGGTGGCGCAGGCGGTTAAGCGCCACGCTGTGAAGCTGTCCGCAGCCTCTGTAGCGCCAGTTTGATCCCGGCCGGAGAGGGTTCCACATGGTGCAGCAAACCTCTCCTGTCTCACCCACTGCTCCCCTCAGCAGTGTATTTCGTCAGTCTGCCTGTTCTGTTCCCCGCTCTGTCTCTGGTGAATCCACTCACCCTCCCGTGCATCTGTGCATCTGGACTATACCCGGTTCTTGTATAAATAAATAAATAAATCTTTTTAAAAAAAGTCCCTCTTCCAATGAAAAGCCCAGCCATGTAGACATCTTGCTCATAAACTGATAGTATGTTTCCAAGGTGGAAATTCATGATGACTAGACAGTACCCCTCCTCCACTCTCCTCACTCCCACTCAGTTATTGAGCTTGCCACCAGTGCATGAACAGAGAAAGAGCAGCTTAGCATGCCTACGTAATCAGCCCTTGGGGGCCAGCAGCTCTTCCAGACCATTTACAAGGACTTTAAAGACAAACAGCAAGGAAAAAGAAATGTATTCATGGAAGAACTTGTTACCACTCCCTATCCCTTTCCTGTACAACAAGTAGAAAACTGTAAAGACAAGGAGATAGTGCACTGGGCCATGTATGCAAGCTAGTTGAAAAATATTTTAGATATGCAAAGAGCTAAAAAAAAAATTATTGCAGCTTTCTCAAGCCCAGTAACCACAGAAGGAGGCTGCACTGTCATCACAATTGTCATACATGGACGATTCTTCCAGCATCCAGATGATGGCTTCAGTGAAGGCAGGCCTGTGGAGGGAAGGGATCTTATATTTTCTGTTGACTCATTTAACAAAGGGTCAGCATTTCCATACCTTAGACTTGAACAAACAGAACACTCAACAAAAAAGAACAAGAGAATAATTTAAAAAATAAGAAAATAAACTTGGGCCTTCCTGGTGGTACAAGGGATTAAGACGCAACCTATGAAGCTATCTACAGCCACTGCAGCACGAGTTCCATCCCCAGCTGGCCAGCAGCATACTTCAGTCAAGCCGCCTTTTTTTTTTTTTAAGATTTATTTATTTATGCATACAAGAAATGGGGTACAGGCCAGAGGTGTGGGGGGTGAGAGGATTCACCAGAGACAGAGTGGGGAATAGAACAGGCAGATTGACTGAAATACACTGCTCAGGGGAGCAGTGGGCGAGTCAGGAGAGGTCTGCTGCGCCATGTGGGTAACTCCCTGGCCAGGGATCGAACTCGTGCCGCAGTAGCTGTGGCTAGCTTCATAGGTTACATCTTAACCCCTTGTGCTACCAGGGATGCCCAATCTGCCTTTCTGTTACCCACACTTTCTCTGGTGAATCCTCTCACCTCCCCACACCTCTGGCCTGTACCCCAGTTCTTAAATGCATAAATAAATAAATCTTTGGCAAAATTGCTTTGGCAAACCAGATAGAAAATCCCAGGAGTTTTCAAAGAAAATACACTTACTTGACAATATCAAAGTTAAAAATATTTTTCCTGGAAAATAAATCCCATAAACAAAGTTAAGGGCTAGCCACTACCAATTTCCACCTGTGCTGCGAGGAGATACAGCCATGGGTGAGACGCCAGTGGTGTGGAGCCACGTAGGTGTGTCTGGGACCCCAAAGCCCTAGTTGGCGCCTACATAGGGCATTGAGTTGGACAGCCCCCTGATGTATCTGCAACCAGGCCTTGAGGTAAGCTGCAGCTTTTGGGCATTGCGGGCCAGAAATGCTTTAGATGCATCACCACGTCATTTTACCAGAGCATGGTGGCATCCTGCTGAGTTAGGTGACCTTCCTGCTGGTTGTCCATAGAGTGACCTGTAGGGCACCTGTGTGTCTCAACCCAAGAGGTGGAGGAGTTGGCTTCCTCCCTGTACATGACCTTGTGGAGACCGCAGCCAAAAATATCTGCGATGTGGACCTGGGCTTTGACACAGAGCAGGTTTTCTATGATTGGAGCAGATAGGGTAAAGGAGAGTCCTGGAGCCCTCAGTGGCTTTCTCAGGCTTTCATTGAGCTTTTACATTTAGTACAGCAACAAGGTACACTGTAGGCAGGGGGCCAGGGGGCCAGGAAGCTGGCAGACTTCCAAGCCCCCAGCAAGTCTTCACTCTGGGCTCTCTGGCGTTCTTACTCCTTTGCTCTTCTGTTCTCTCCCGCCTCTGCTTTTCTTCGTGAATACATCAATACTGCAGCCATGTCCACAGAAGCAAACAATACAACTGAAAATAACATGTAACAAAATGCAGGTGCCCACATCAGGCATGCAATCCTAATGGCAGAAGGCAGAAAAGCCTGAAAATAATTTACCCTCCACACGACCTAAGATGCCATCCTGGAGTAGGACTGGGGACATCAATTTGGAGTAGGCCTGGGAGTGTCCAGCTCATCCAAACCTCCTTCTTCATCTCCCCACATGAAGGAACAACCTGGCCCAGGTTGGTGTTGACTCTGGAAAGGAAAGAGTAAAATAGTGGTGACCTCAGAAGAGCTGGAGGGATGGAGAGTTAATCTCTCTCTCTCTCTCTCTCTCTCTCTCTCTCTCTCTCTCTCTCTCTCTGTGGCAAATGGCAGAATGCATCCAAAGAGTTAATATAAGCACTATCCTGACCCAGGCAAATCTCTGGATTTTGGAGTCTCAGAGCTCAGCCCCTTTCCATCACAAAGACATCTTAGAGGTCAGTTGTGCAGCTTCATGGCCTTGACCCTCATTCTTTGGTTGTCAGTGGCACTCATAAAACACTCCACCTCTCAGGAAGCTTATGGGCATAAACAAGAAAATGGATGGGATATGCTTAGCCAGAGTCTGCCACCTGACAAGACAAGAATTGGCATCACCGCCCTTTCCTCTCTTGACTGGAATGTGGCCATTTCCAGCAGTATCCCTGCTTTCAGATACGCAGCACTCAGCATCTAGATGCCTTAGCAAAGACAAGGACCAGTGCAAGGAATTCTAGGGACCGCCCTAGGTCCTTACGCTTGGATGAGTCTGAGCATGGGTTAAAATGTGAGCTCATACCCAGGGTTGCTGCCCAATACCCCACCCTCACCCCCAAAGCAGGTGTTGAATCTGGACCTGGAAAGCAGAGATGAACCTGAATGAGCAGATCCTATGTTGGACGCACAGTCGACACTGTGATTAGCCACCAAGATACTCCTTCAGGGCTGAGGAGCCTCTGTACACCACCTGTAACTCCCAACCCTGGCGGCTAGAAATGCTGCCAGATGAGGGACACAGTTGGTAGCAACCCCTGGGAACTGCGCAAGGCCCTTCAAGGGCAGCCCACATCCATTGTCGGCTCATTGGGAGGAGGGTGTCCAGAGACCCAGGTCCTCTTATCTCAACCCTGGACAACTCTGAAGGTCAAATCCAGCTTTAGCATTCTCTGTGGAGTCTATTGAGGATTTGCTCTAACAGTTGCACTCTAACTAGTACAAGTAAAGTCTCTGTTCAATCCTGTTTGCTTCCCTTCCTTCTCAAGTAGGTATTGATGTCAAGAATCCCCTAACAAAGTTCTTCATACTAAAAAACAAAAAGAAATAAAAAATTTTGAATGTGAGATAGGCTGATAAAAATTTTCTCAATGGTTCTGACACATAAAATGTCACCATCTGTAAGATATCCAAAAGCCTCTGTGTGCTTGGTATGAAAAGGGCAAACATCTACTGGCAAAATGCTAAAATGCTCCAGGAATGTTCCTGCTGCCAAGTTAACTATAAAGGTGGTAGGTATGCCTCCCACCCCTCACCCCCTAGCCCCTGCCTGGTGATGCCCCCGCAGTGAGCACTTACTGCTTGCCTAGGGAAAATCTCTGCTTTCAATACCAGGCTTTACTTCCAGATGTGCTTTCAGAATTTTCAGGAACCCTCACCAGTGTCACTAACCAGGCCCTCACTCTCTGATGGGGACCCCAGGGAGGAACTTGGTCATAAAACCAGTGGGCAGTGACTGGAGCAGTGGCCAGTGCTCCCTGTGTAGCAGCTGTTCCTGAAGAGCCATGGGCTGGGTGTGGCACGATGTCTGCATGACCCCTCCCCACCCCCCAATATCTGAGATCAGCAGGTGTGACCCACCACATGAACTGTCTTCATCTCTGGTATTTGTTTTTTCAATAGAGAGAAGAATTAGCTGACATAAGAGAAGGGACAATCCAATTAATGATTTGAGAAGGGACTGTCCAATTAATGATGCATAGAGTTTTTATGGCTGGTGTGGCTTTTAATTAGCAGGGTGTGTATATTATGAGTTTGTTATATACACTGATATATGTAATCAGATTTCAAGCAATTAATAAGAATTAGTCAAATTGGAAATATGATTACTATTGCAACAAAAATCCCATGGGGCCTCCCTGGTGGCGCAAGGGGTTATGATGCAACCTATGAAGCTGTCCGCAGCCATTGCAGCACAAATTCGATCCCCTGCGAGGGAGCTACCCATATGGCACAGCAGACCTTTCCTGACTCTTCCACTGCCCCCCTCAGCAGTGTATTTCAGTCAATCTGCTTATTCTGTTCCCCACTCTGTCTCTGGTGAATCCTCTCACCCTCCACACCTCTAGCCTGTGTCCCAGCTCTTGTATGCATAAATAAATAACTCTTTTTAAAAAACCCATGAATACCGATCATTACTGACATAGATAACTTACTCTCTTTCCCTCACTATTTATATATAACGTGATCATCACCTGACTGGAAGAGTCAACCCAAGTGAGGGAGAGATGGAGGGAGGAGGAGGAGAGAACAAAATACTTTGAATTGGTGAACATTTGTTGATTGAGCCCAAATTAAAAAAAAAAAAAATTAAATGTGATTGTGACACCTCTTCATGTATTTAACAGGAGCAACAGAAATGAAAGTGTCCACAAAATTTTCTATTTGCTAAATAGATCCTGTTTCAAGTCAATACTGAAAAAGAAGTGCCTCAGTAATTAGCCAAAAAAGCACTAACTCTTGCAGCACTGTTAATATGAGTGGTGTCCTCTCTAGCCAAGCTCATCCTGAGCCCCCACAGCCGCAGGCTCATCTGTCCCATCCTCATCTTCTAGGTCTGTCCTCTTATGACTCACCTGTGCGAGAAAATCATCTCCACTCTGCCTTCCTGGAGGAAGCTCAATGGGCCCAACCAGCTGATGTCATTGCAGCAGTTCATGTATGACGTGCAGGACCAGCTGAACCCCCTGGCCAGCGAGGAGGACCTCAGGCGCATAGCCCATCAGCTGCACAGTGCAGGCGAGGTAAGGTCTCCACCCAGTAGGGGGTCAGGGAGTAACCACAGGATACCCTTTTCCCCCCAAATTCCTGAATCTTGAAGGTGGTATGAGCCTGGGAGGCAGAGTAGAAACTACCCAGCTGCCCATATTTCCAGACTATGTGAGAGGGGTGACCATCACAGAGGCTCATCTGAAATGCAATTCTCTGCTTCCCTATTCTCTTAAGAGCTGTTGGTTTTTACTTTTGCTTTGGTTTATTTGCTTTCCAGCTTCTGTTAGTTGGGGAGTACAGAGGGCCCCCCAGCCCCCGCAATGAATGACTGGCCTCTCTTTTCTCCCCTTGGTCACCCAGTACTGAGCTGTGATTTCTGCAGCCTTCAGGATGGCCATTCTCCATGTGGAGTTGCCAGATCCAAACAGACCCTTTGTTCACAGACGGTTAAAAGGGGGAATGACATGATATTGTCTGTAGATACTAAAACACAGCAAGTAATGAACCTTAGAAGTTACCAAGAAATGGGAATCTTTGCTCCTGGTTGTTACATTCAGCACTGGGGTGGGATTTGGTACCCTGTTGTAATTGCATCCTATGCCGATGCCTGTCCCAGGGAAGGACCTTTGCAGGCCTCCATCATGTGACATCAGAATATAGCCTAGTCTAATCTGGGTTAAGAATAGCAGTTCTGCATGTTCAAAAGCGAAAAATTCTGAGAATTTTAAAATCTAGAAGCTTATTTCTTCAATATCAGGGTGCCACATCTAACCCTGTGGTCAATTTGTGAGGATAAGATAGGCTTCATATAAAATTGAGTTCCAGGAGCTACTGACCCTTAAAAACTAAACCTTAAGCAATGACTGTGTCAGCTTTTGAACCTCCAGGAAACTACTGCCTAATCTCCTGAACTTTCCACAATACTGTAAAATGACTGAATCTAAAAGGGAAGAATAGGTGAAGGATGAAGCTCACATTATAAGGTGCTGCTGGATATTTAAAAAAAAAAAAAGTTTTGACCATAATAATAAGCTCACTCATTTGGGGCAGTATTCTCTTGTTTTTCGTATTTGACCAGCAGTTTTCTAGATCATAGAGTGTAACCACTTTATTGGTGTCACATCCCCCCTTGCCCTTGATATTTCAGTAAATAACAAAGACTTAAACGAGGGGACTCTAAGTCAAGAGGTCCCAGTACTGTCTGGGCACCAACCCTTCCCCAGTGCTTTACAGATCTCTAGTAGGCTCACTTAAATCTATTAAAATTTTCTTAATAAATTCACTAGTCCTTCTAATATCTTTTCTCTGGTGCAAGATGGATGGCACATTGCACCTAGTCATCTGTCTCCTTGGTCTTTTCCAATATGGGAGAGTTTGTCATTCCATCTTCCTTGACCGAGAGGGGAATTAATTGTCTAGCAAGCACTGTGGTACCTTCCTAGACACTGAATTACCAGCATCTTATCAAGAAATAACTACTGTTTTACCCTCCATCAATTTTTTTTTAATCTATGGCTCAATTTTGAACAGCATCATATGTGCAGGGCAGCTCAAAAATTTCAAACAGACCATGGGCAGAAACGTACCCCTGATGCAAACAAGGTGAAGTCTCAGCCTCATGTGAGAAAAGAGTCTCCCTTGAATCAGCGGTTTTTGGTAGAACTAGCCCAGACCAGGAAGGGAAGGGAAGGAAAGGCAACTGTATCGTAAAGGGGATGATTGCTTCCATTTTTTGGTCACATTTTTTTTCTTTCTTACCTTTGCTTTTAATTAGAGAAATAAACATGACAGTAAAGCTGGGGGTCCCCCCAGCCGTCACCTCTCATCTCATTCCTCTCACCCATTATCCTATCAAGGGTCAATGACTGATATCATGGTGGCATATCTTTCCAGACATCTTTTGTGTCTGTGTGATGAAATTTTACAAAATTGTGTAAGATTATAACATTTACAATCCTTTTCTGAAGAATTTCAAGTCTTTGGAGACATTTCAGAAACAATACAACAAATTCTTAAATTCCCTGCTGACATACTCCTTACCACTTGCTCACATTTCACTACATTTGCTTTATCACTCTGTTTTGTGTTTATTTACTTATTGATTTTTCAAACATCATGAATTCCCCCAAAATGATTTAGCCTGCATCTCCTAAAGAGTATATTCCCCCACATAACCACAATTATCATGTTCCAGAAACATAAGATAGTTATAATACTATTATTGAATAGATAGCACTCATTCAAGTGTTGGCCACTTGACCCAATAGTTTTTTTTATAGCTGTTTATGTATTTATTTAGGAGTCATAATCCACTCAAAAAAATCACTCTAATTTTGGCTCCCATCTCCTACTCTATTTTTTGTTTCTTTGTTTTTCAGTACATCGGTCTTTTTGAAAAGTCAAAGATAGTCTTTTCAGAATCTTACTGACATTCTCGGGTTAGTTTTTTTACCCCGTATTTAATTTCTGAGCTCCATCCATGTGAATGCCCTGGGTCATTCCCTGCAAAACCTGCCCAGATTCTATCACCGGTCCAGGCCTTGGCGCTCTAGCAGCTGGAGCATCAGTCCATTTGTGTTCTTTGGATGACTTCCTGTTGTTCCCTCTGGCAGATCAACATCATGCAGAGCGAAACAGTTCAGGATGTGCTACTCCTGGACCCCCGCTGGCTCTGTACCAATGTCCTGGGGAGGTTGCTGTCTGTGGAGACCCCACGGGCCCTCCACCATTATCGCGGCCGCTATACCATGGAGGACATACAGCGCCTGGTGCCTGACAGTGACGTGGAGGAGCTGCTGCAGATCTTAGATGCCATGGACATCTGTGCCCGGGACCTGAGCAGTGGGACCATGGTGGATATCCCTGCCCTGATTAAGACAGACAACCTGCACCGTTCTTGGACGGATGAGGAAGATGAGGTGATGGTCTATGGTGGCGTGCGCATCGTCCCCGTGGAGCACCTCACCCCCTTCCCATGTGGCATCTTCCACAAGGTCCAGGTGAACCTGTGCCGCTGGATCCACCAACAGAATGCCGAGGGGGACGCGGACATCCGCCTGTGGGTGAATGGCTGCAAGATCACCAACCGTGGGGCTGAGCTGTTGGTGCTTCTGGTCAACCATGGCCAGGGCATCGAGGTCCAGGTGCGTGGTCTGGAGATGGACAAGATCAAGTGCTGCTTGCTGCTGGACTCCGTGTGCAGCACCATCGAGAATGTTGTGACCACCACACTGCCTGGGCTGTTGACAGTGAAGCATTACTTGAGCCCCCAGCAGCTGAGGGAACATCATGAACCTGTCATGATCTACCAGCCCCGGGACTTCTTCCGGGCACAGACCCTGAAGGAGACCTCACTGACTAACACCATGGGTGGGTACAAGGAAAGCTTCAGCAGCATCATGTGCTTCGGCTGTCATGATGTATACTCACAGGCCAGCCTGGGGATGGACATCCACGCTTCAGATCTGAACCTCCTAACCCGGAGGAAACTGAGTCGCTTGCTGGACCCACCCGATCCCATGGGGAAAGACTGGTGCCTCCTAGCCATGAACTTGGGCCTTCCTGACCTTGTGGCAAAGTACAATACCAGTAACGGGGCTCCCAAGGATTTCTTCCCAAGCCCAGTCCATGCCCTGCTCCAGGAATGGACCTCCTACCCTGATAGCACGATTGGTATCCTCATATCCAAACTTCGGGAATTGGGGCGCCGGGATGCAGCGGACTTTCTATTGAAGGCATCCTCTGTGTTCAAGATCAACCTGGATGGTAATGGCCAGGAGGCCTACGCCTCAAGCTGCAACAGTGGCACATCTTATAATTCCATTAGCTCGGTCGTGTCCCGGTGAGAGGACAGCCTTTGGCTTGGGCAGGGTCACCTCAGACTGCAGAAGCAAGAGGGCTACAGCCCATCTTTCCATCAGAGAAAGATTCCAGGTCATCCTCTGTACGCCACAAACTGAAGGACCCCATCCTCCCTCCAAAGTCACCTGTGTCTCTGCCACTACCTCCCTCCCTCTTACACATACCTGTGTGTGAAGGGTCCTTGGGCCATTTGAAAAGTTAGCACCCTCCTCTCCACGTCCTGGACTCATCCTCCAGTACCTCGCTTCTTTCTGATAATTTTACTGGAATTCCTAACTTTTAATGAAATTTTTAAAACTTCTATATTGACTGTCCTTTTAAACAAGTGCACATCATTTATCCCAAATGTGTATTTCTTATACTCTCCTCTTTGTTATACTCTGTCCACAGCTTCTTTCTTTTCTCTTTGTAGGAAAATTCCCACTGTGTGATTCATTAGCAGACAATATGTGAGTGCCTTTTGCAGAAGAGAGTGTATTTGAAATCGTCCAAGTCAGCCAGGAGCGGCTGTGAAGGAAACAGTCCCTCTCTCTGTTCCTTGCTGTATGCTAGTCATAGCCAGAGGTGTTTCACTCTGAGGGTTTTTTCCCAACAAATTTTTGTGTTACCTTTGGCAAAGGAACAGGAAAGAGGAATCCCCCTCTAAATTGATTTCATGGCCAGTGTTGTTGCTATAATAAATCATGTTTTTGGTTGTCTTTGTTTAAATGTCAACGTGACTGTCTAGATGGAACCTATAAACTGTCACAATTCATCCCCTCTCATCTCAGGTAGAAGATTGACACAGGTGTAGAGTGACGAAGATCTATGTGAGAATTCAGATGACCCCTGATCATTATTTGTGGCAGTTCATTGTCATTTGTGTGTAGCAGATGGTTTTCCACATTTAGATCCTGGTTTCATTACTTCTAATGTTACGTCTAAAAAAGAAAATTAAGAAGTTTTGTTGCCGTGATTTTAAATTGTGATAGAGTTTTAAATTGATATGAGGGAATATGTCCTATTTCTGTCCTGAGAAGCATGTATATCATATGTATATATGCAGTATGTATATACATATATATTGTTACAGGTATTTTTACTTAATCTACATAATATAGTAAACATTTGTTTTTGTTTTCTTATTTTGATCTTTTTTCTTTTTTAAAAATAAACTGTTGCGTGTTTCATTAGTTGCTGTTCTTTAATTCAGAAGAAATTTGTTCCTTGTTTAGTTTTTATTTGCTAATACCACAGTGGGATAAGACCTTTGGAAATCCAGAAAGTCATTAAACCTAACCTCTTGGGAATAGAAAACAATGCAGTTTATTAAGGTGTTTATAGGTGTTACTAAAATTGGGAAGGGCGTGGGGAAAGAAACAGAGTCCATAGGAATTTCACATTTGTTCTCACTTTAAAGAAAAGAAACCCTTTCTAATTTCTTAGGGTGAATCAAATAGCCAAATTGAATAATTTAGTGTCAGTGATGGAAGAACAAGGGAAGCTTTCTGCAGTTTCCAGTGAGATTCAACATTACTGGCAGAAGTGTTGTTTTGTAGGGAGTTAGAGCACCTAAGTTTTTCCTTATATCCAGTGAATTTTCAGAGTCTCCATTGGGAACGATGTATATTTTACTCAGTTTCCAAGGCGGAAACACATTTTAGTAGTGCTTGTCACTAAATTTTAAACTGTGAGTGAGTGTTAGTGCAGTTTCTGTGGAGAGTCAGCATTACCAGCAGTAGTGCCTTATTGCTGGCAGTTGCAGCACTTGGGAATTTCCTCATATCCAGTGACTTTCAAGAGTCCCCATTGGGAACTGTGTATTTCACTCAGTTTCCAGGGCGGAATCAAACAGATGTTGTTCTTTTCACTACACTTCGAACTGTGCTAGTTTGTGCAGCTTCCATTGTGATTCAGCATTGCCGCCATTAGTACTGTTTTGCAGGCAGTTATAGCACCTGAGATTTTCACCACATCCAGTAACTTTTAAAGTCCGCTTAGTGAACTATGTTTATTTCACTCAGTTTCCAGGGCAGAATAACATAGGAGTTGCTCTTTTCACTACACTTTGAACTCTGAGTGTCAGTGCAGTTTCCATTGAGATTCAGCATTACTGGCAGTAGTGCCATTTGGTAGGCTGTTAGAGCACCTAAGTTTTTCCTCATATCCAGTGAATTTTCAGAGTCTCCATTGGGAACGTGTATTTTACTCAGTTTCCTAGGCAGAAACAAATTTTAGTAGCGCTTGTCACTAAATTTTGAACTGTGCTTGTTAGTGCAATTTCCGTGGAGAGACGGTATTACTTGGAGTAGAGCCGTTTTGCAGGCATTTACAGGACTGGGGAATTTCCCCATATCCAGTGACTTTCAAGAGTCCGCATTGGGAACTGTGTGTATTTCACTCAGTTTCCAGTGCAGAAGAAAATAAGAGTTGCACTACTCTTTGAACTCTCTGTGTTACTGCAGTTTCCATTGAGATTCAGCATCACTGGCAGAAGTGGCGTGTTGTAGGGAGTTGCAGCACTTGGGATTTCCCTCATATCAGTGACTTTCAAGAGTCTGCATTGGGAACTTTGTGAATTTCAGTCAGTTACCAAGGCGGAATCGTTAGGTATTGCTATTTTCACTACACGTTGAACTCTGGTAGTTATTGGAATTTCCATGGTAATAAAGCATTACTACCATTAGTTCTGTTTTGCAGGCCCTTACAGCACCTGTGATTTTTGTTATACCCAGTAACTTTTAAAGTCCGCTTTTTGAACTGTGTGTATATCACTCAGTTTACAATGCAGGAGAACATAGGAGTTGCTCTTTCACTACACTTTGAACTCTGTGTGTTAGTGCATTTTTCACTGAGATTCAGCATCATGGGAAGAAGTGGCGTTTTGTAGGGAGTTAGAGCGCCTAAGTTTTTTCTTATATCCAGTGAAGTTTTAGAGTCCCAACCGGAACTATGTGTATTTTACTCAGATTGCAAGGAGGAATGACATTTTGTAGCACTTGTCACTAAACTTGTCTTTTTTCACTGGAAAGAAATCAAAAGTCAAGATCATCTTACTTCTGTGTATGAAAACTCTCCAGGATGGAAGAAATTCATTGGTGCATCAACTTCCTCCATAGATGGCTTTATGCATATAATCTGATCACTCTGAAATCATTCAGTAATCCTTAAATTACAATATCGAGTTTCAGGAATAACTTATATGTGATGGTTCCCCAAAGAGAAAGTTAAATAAAAGGGCTTCTTACTAAGGTGTATGAGGCTCTCGAGGAAAGAAGAAACTCATAGTTGCTCCAACAATCTCCAAAGACTGCTTTGATATGACAATACTGAGTCACTCTGAAAATGAACTGACTCTAAAAGTTCAATATCTAGTTGCAGATTTCTCCCAAAAGTAGGAGACAAGGTCATCTGAGTTCTCTGTAAGAAGACTCTCTAAGACGGATGAAAATCACTGGTGCTCCAACTTCCTCCATAGATGGCTCTTGGGGGATAGTCCTGAATCACTCTGAAATCATTGGTAACACAGAAACTTCAAAATCTCATTGGAGCAATAAATTATGTGTGTTTCTATAGAAAGAAAGTACAATGCAAGGGCATCTTACCTCTGTGAATGAAGACTCTCTATGATGCACGAAACTCACTGGTGCTCCACCTGACTCCAAAGACTGCTTTTGGGAGTTAATGCTCAATCACTGTAGCACTAAAACTCAACGTTGAGTATCTAGTTGCAGTAGTAACTTATATGTGATTTTTCACAAAGAGAAAGTTAAATAAAAAGGCTACTTAGTATTGTCTATGAGAATCTCAAGGAAAGAACAAACTCACTGGTGCTCCAACAATCTCCAAAGACTACTTTGCGGTGAAAATGTTGAGTCACTCTGAAAACATGTACTATTCTAAAAGTTCAATATGTAGTTGTGGAATAGCTAATATGTGATTTTTTTCACTGGAAATAAAGCAAAAGATAAGATCTTCTTACTTCTGTGCATGAAGATTCTCTGAAGGAAGAAACTAATTGGTGCTCCAACTCCCTCCAAAGACTGCTTTGCTGTAATAATGTTGAGTCACTCTGAAAACATGTACTATCTCTCAAAGTTCAATATCTAGTTGTGAAATAGCTGATGTGATTTTTACCTGGAAAGAAAGCAAAAGACAAGATCTTTCTTCTGTGTATGAAGACATTCTAGGAAGGAAGAAACTCACTGCAACTACCTCCATAGATGGCTTTTTGGTGATAATGCTGAATCACTCTGAAATAATTCTTAATCCTTAGACTTCAATATCTAGTTGCAGGAATAACTTACATGTGATTTTTCCCCAAAGAGAAAGTTAAGTAAAAGGGCTTCTTACTACTGGGTATGAGACTCTTGAGGAAAGAAGAAACTCACTGGTGCTCCAACATTCTCTAAGGACTGCTTTGGGATGAAAGTACTGAGTCACTCTGAAGAAATGCACTAACTCTAAAAGCATAATATCTAGTTGTAGATTTTTCCCACAAGTAAGAGACAAGATCATCTAACAAGTCTTCACCTGTGTATGAAGACTCTCTAGGAAAGAAGGAACTCACTGTGCTCCAGCTACCTCTGTAGACAGCTTTTGGGTTATAGTGGTGAATCACTCTAAAATCATTCAGTAACACAAACACTTCAATGTCTCATTGCAGGAATAAGTTATGTGTTTTTCTACAGAAAGAAAGTACAATGCAAGGTCATCTTACTTCTTTGAATGATGACTCTCTAGGAAGGAAGAAACTCAGTGGTGCTCCAGCTAACTCCAAAGATGGCTTTAGGGAAGATAATGCTGAATCACTCTGAAAACATGCACTAAAACTCAACATTGAGTATCTAGTTGCAGGAATAACTTATATGTGATTTTTCCACAAAAAGAAAGTTAATAGGGCTTCTTACAGTTGTGTATGAGACTCTCTAGGAAAGAAGAAACTCACTGATGCTTCAACTACCTGCTAGATTGGGAGATAATCCTGAATCACTCTAAAAACATGCACTAACTCTTGAAGTTCATATCTACTTGCTGGATTAGCTTATATTTGATTTTTCTCCAAAAATAATTTATAATGGAAGGACTTCTTACTTCTGTGCATGAAGACTCTATAGGAAGGAAGAACTCACTGGTCATCCCACTGACTCTAAACAATCCTTTTAGGTGATAATGCTGGATAACTCTGAAAACCTACCCTAACTCTTAAAGTCCAATATCTAGTTGCAGGAATAACTTATATGTGATGTTTCACCAGAAAGAAAATAAAATACAGGGACTTCTTATTTCTGTGTATGAAGACTCTATAAGAAGGAATAAACTCATTGGTACTCTAACTACCTCCAAAGACTGCTTTTGGGTGATATTACTGAATCACTATGAAACCATGCCCTAACTCTTCAAATACAAGGTAGATACTTACAGCTTACTTTGCTGCAGAAAGTAAGCAAAACACACACATAACTCATTTTGGTGATTTGAGTGACCCTAGATACAAGAAAAGTCACTGGGGCTCAATGTTTCTTTAGAACTCTTTTGTGTGAGAATGCTGTATCACTGTGAAAACATGCCCTAACTCTCCAATTTCAAGGTGTAGTTGATACATGTATTATATATGATTTTTGTCAAGAAAGTTAGAGAAACACAAACATATCTCACTCTGGTGTTTTGAGAGTGCAGATACTGGTGCTCACACTGTCTACAAAGAGTGCTTTTGTGCAAAAATGTTGAGTCACGATGAAAACATGTACTAACTCACCAACTACAAGGTCTACTTGAAAGAGGAACTTACGTTGATCTCTCTGCGATAGTACATGCTTTCTTAGAAAAAGCCACTTTTGCACAAAAGCAAGTTTTTGGAGCACAAGTGTTTTTTTCTGAAAACAAGAATGTTAAAACACAGAAGTGAGATATCTGACTATGTTACATACTTTCTGGAGAAAAGTCACTGACAAATCATCCTTCCAACGAAACATTGAACTTTCAGATTTAGTACATGCTTTCTGAGAGAAACACTTTTCACAAAAGCACTCTCTGCTAGCATTTGGAGCACAAGTTTTTTTTCTGAAACAAGATAATGTTAAAACACTAAATTGATTTATTTGAGTTAGTTGCTTTCTTTCTGGAAGAAAATTCTCTGAGAAGTAAATCTTTCAACTGAACATTGAACTTTCAAAGTTAGTACATTTATTGTTAG